ATGGCATTTCTCTTATAGATGAATAGAAATGGGTGAGTTTAAGATGTTAGAGTTATAGAGTTAATAATAGGCCAAAGAGTTTACAATTAATATTTGGATATTTGGGATAACTGGTGGCCTAGAGAGAAACTTCCAGCTACAAGGCCTTATGCATGTTAAACAAGCCCTTTGCCATTACATTATACCCCAACCCCATTAAGTACATTAAAATTCTGGTGTCTTTGAACTTGTTCAGCAAAATCGCAAAATCACCATCTTGCAATGTCAAGGATTACCAAAAGTCTCCCATTTTGGACTGAAGTATGGAGGTCAGAAACATCGCTGACGGTGGCAAGGACTTCCACGGCACGTGAGAGTTGGCCTAAGATTTTGTGGGTTAGTGCCTCCTGCCTGGCCCCTTCCACTCTGAAAACAAAATTGCAACTAGAATTCTAAGAATAGCTAAGGTTTGCTTGCAAATATTTCATGAGCACTGCAAGCTAAATTGGGCTTTTACAGGGAAAACTTTGAGGAGTCCTTCTGGAAATGGAGTACCACTTCTACTTTATTATCTGTAAGATATTTTGATAATCCCATATTAAAGTGTCAAATATATGTACATAATCTACAACACTGATCTTGAGTGTATTGTGACTTTTTCGTCTTATTTCCTGTAGAGAGTATTGACATTTCTCTACATCTCTTAAGAATACTCTCAACAAGATAATACAATATTTATCAAAATTTTTGATAAAATAAAGTAACTTTATTAAAATAAGTTTTAAAACTCTGACCATGCAACTGTAACCACCCCTCCTTGCTATAGTATATTGAATCCCTGTAAAAGATTAGAGAAAGATAAATAGAGAAGACATACAGGCTAAATTTAAGTGTACAGAGACAATCTGCTAGTAGAAAAATGTCAAAAAAAATTTAGGTATATTTATCTTCTATTCTTCCTTTGTATGTATACATCTTTGTTCATCTGAATGCTAGTCTTCCCACATATGGTTTTGTTCATCTTACTTGTTTAATTTTAATTTTTATGCTTTGACAATTTCATGATTGCATACAATGTATCTTGATCATATCACCCCCTCATTCCTTCCTACAGCTCCAGCAAGATTTCCAAATCATCTCTCTTTCAATTTTATGTCCTCCATATATATTTAATCTATATGTATATATGACCCATGGAATCCAGTCAAGGCGACCTATGTGCACACAGGCACAGAGTCATCCCCAGAGGCATGGACAGCCACCTAGCAGTCACACTCCAAAAGAAAAATGTGCCTCCCTCAGCAGCTTTCAACAGACAATTACTCCACACCTAGACATGAGGCCTCAGCAGCGTTGCCCTCTCTATGCTGGAATTAGCTTGATCTTATGTGAGTGCTTACACAATTTATAAGATGGAAATTTTTTTCCTTGTGTTATTCATTAAGCGAATGAGTTTTGAAGGCTGCCTAAGACGTTGTGCTGGGGCTGGGCTCTTAGGAATTTAAGCCCTGTGTCTTACCTGTAGGAACTGAGTGACATTTCAGAGTTCGGAATTCATTAGGTTGGGGACTCCCGCTCTGTTACCCAAAACAAAACAGCAACAACAAAAAAAAAATGTTGAGGGTTTGTTAGGAGGCTCTTATCTAAGTTGGAATAAATGTAGATCAGAAAACACGATACCAAGTATGACTGGCTTAAGTCTTTCCCCCGCTTTATCCTGACTGAAGTGATGGAGGAATTAGTGGTTATTTTCATTTGTTTTCAATTTTAGAAAACCATTACAAAATAAATAAAAGGATCCTCTGCTGTGACTTCCTTAAGCAAACAGTAAATGTAAACTAAGTTGTTTTTATCTCCTTACACCCGCAGTTGAGTGTGGCTACCAGCCTCCATTTCCTCTTTACAGCACATGGGGACTGTCACAGAAATCCACACCTGGGCACAATGCAGACACCAACAGATCCTGGGGAGCCCATTCACAACCGATACACTGACATCGCAACTCCTGCATGCATGACTTCGGCGAACAATGTAGAAGAGGGGGCAGAAAGAATATAAGAGCCAGAATACCAGGAAGTCTGCTGGGAAACAGTTTCTTAGAAATGACTGCATTGTCCCAAACCAATGGACATGTTAATACGGAAGGGGGAGGCTTGGGGGAGGGGGAGGTCCCACCCCTAGATAAAGAACTATAGGCAGCTAATAGCCTTTGGAGGAGAATTGACCTCTCCCAGGGATCAGTCCTTTATTGGTTGTTCAATGCATAGTGACCAAGACTTTGAAACCATATGTACACCAACAAGAAAAAGACTCAGCAGGTCATATTTATATATATTTGTGCATATACATGCATATATACACATTCACAATGATAATCAAGGAAAAAGAGGCTATCGACTTGGGAATGGAGAGATGGAGTGGGGTTCAAGGAAGCCCAGCTAGGGGAGCTAGAGGGAGGAGAGGGCGAGGGGAAGTGATATAATTCTATTTCAATGAAAAACCAACGTGAGTAGGTTCCTCTTTTCTCTCGGCCCTTGACTATAGCTGAGTTGCTTGAGTCCCTGCCTTGTCTTCCCCACAGTAACGCACTGTGTTCTAGAATTGTGAGCCAATAATTCCATCCTTCCAAGCTCCTTCGTCAGGATGTTTGTCAGAGCAGCAGAAATGCAACTAAAACAGCGGCTAATAGTATCCGTGAGGGCTTCCCTCCCAGAACCTAAAGCCCAGGGCTGCATCCCTGAGCAAGACTGTGGAACACTGGTACTTGGGCTTCAAAACAGGAATCCCAGGAAATCAGGCATTCAGTCCACTGCAGGAAGATAGGTAAATAGGCCATTGCAGCGTTTCGATGGCAACATTAGGGATTGCCAGGAGGGTGTCCCACTTGGAGAGGAAGGAGGAAGGAGGAAGGACATATGTATACATGACTCATAGTAGACTCTATCGAATAAATTTTGGATAAAATTATGAATTGGGTTGGCAGGGTATATCGCAATAGTAGATTGTTGCCCTGTGTGTATGAGGCTCTGGATTCTGTCCCCAATACCATGAAAACATAATACATGCTAGTGGAAAAATGAGACAAAAAAGTGAGACTAGAGATAAAATAACAGAGAAGATGGAGGAGTTAGTGAGATCCAGTAAGACGAAAGAGAAGCAAAGGCCAAGACACTAGGAATAGTCAAATACACAATCATCTTCTACTGCATTGGTCAGTTTTCATTACAAAAGCTGTTAACTTTATAAAACAAAGAGGATTATGAGATTCAAAATTCTGGAGGTTCAAAGTATTGTTCCTGTGTGGTTCTGGGAAGGAACCTTATGGCTGCTGGTATGAACACTTTAGAGAATAAGAAATCAAATCACCAAGCATAGGACAAACAGGGAACAGCCATGTTGACTCCTTTGACAAAGACCCTCTTCCAACAACTTATGGTCCCAGAAGACTGGTTTCAGTTCTTTCCAAATGCAAGATCCATAGGGACTTGCCCAAGTCTCCACCTTAAGGTTCCTCCCCCTGATACAAGACCGAGACCTACAACACAGGTACCATTAAGGATACAGTAACACCATATCCAAAACAGGGCACTTACACCTCAGCTGATGGTCCCTCAAACTTCAGAGCGTGGAAGAATCCATGCGGATGAGTACTGAGAGGAGTCCCAGATGGAAGGGCAAGCGGCACTTCCGTGAGTGTGGGTAAACATCAGGAAATGAGAGAGGAGATCCTAGGGTGGGGCACAGGCTTTAAGGGACAGGTGGTAAGGATAAGAGAATCCATGAAACATGAAAGTGGGGAGAGATGGGTGGGTACGAGTGGGTACAAGTGGGAAGGGACTGTGAGAAGAGGGGAGAAAGGGGGATAAAGCAAAGTAAAACAAAGCTTCCAGGAAATGTTGAAATGAAGCCTGCTGCATTGTGCGTTATTTTAAAACCAACGTAAATAATAAAAACGTGTGAATACAGAAAATCGGTTCTTAAAAGGCAGGCTCCTAGCCCTCCTTACATTCAGATGTCCTAACTCACCCAGGAATCAGAAGGAATTCCACAGATAACCCAGTGATTCCCCAGAAGACAAATCCCAAAGAAACAGAGTTAATGAAGCACACACGTGTAGAAGGCAGCGGTAGGATTGGAACAGAGCTCAACCAAGTCCAGAGACTTCTCTTAATCAGTCCACACGACACCCTCGGGTGTCCTTCCTGTGCTTTACCGTCAGTTGTCCCCTTGTCTGCTGCTCTTGTCACACATTGAGCAAGTTCAGAAAAAACAGTGACGAAAATCAGTTTTACGTCATACTACACCTGGCGAATGAAAGGTGCATTTACAAAATAATCCTTGAATTGTACAAATTAAGATAACTTTTCTGCCAACAGCAAGTGTGCTTTGATAAGTGAAGCATGACCAGACTAGGCTTTGGGAACTGCAGGCATAATTAAGAATTTGGATGGTGTGCAGCTGTTTTGGCTATTTGGCCAGATCCATGTGACCTATTTAAAGTGCTTTCCCTTATTTTAGATTTTTTTTAAAAAAAAAATGTTATCTTAATAAAGGAAATTTTTTCCATTATGTATCATTGTAAATAAAACTGTGAGTCTCTCTGGGGGTGATACTATCAACTAACTTGTCCTAAGTGTTTTCTTAGACAGAGCCAGGCACTTGACTTGTGTCTCCATGAACTGGCCCCTTCGAGTCTAGATACACACCGATTTTCTTCTCAATGTGGGTTTCTGCATTTCAATCCAGCGCACGATGATGTTGCAAGTCTTTGTTTTTGTCCTTATGATGGAGAAACATAAAAATCAATGACACTTTTTAGACACCTCAGAGAATTCCTCAGTTGAAGGAGAGTCACACTAAAATAAAGAGAGACAGGTTCATCCTAAGAGCGACAGCCAGGGCCAGCGTCTCCAGCCATCTCAAGCCCTACAGAGCTCTAGATGGTAATTTTGATAGATGAACAAAGGTTGACGGAGTTGGGGGAGGGGAAACTGTGATCAGAATTTATTATTAAGAAAGGAGCGCTGCCGCCTCTACAGTCGCGACGGTCCGGGCCGCGGTCGCCCAGGGACTTTGAATATGTCAGGGATTGCCCTCAGCCAACTTGCCCAGGAAAGGAAAGCTTGGAGGAAGGACCACCCTTTTGGCTTTGTGGCTGCCCCAACAAAGAACCCTGATGGCACGATCAACCTGATGAATTGGGAGTGCGCTATCCCTGGAAAGAAGGGGACTCCATGGGAAGGAGGCTTGTTCACACTGCGGATGCTTTTCAAAGATGACTATCCGTCCTCACCACCAAAATGTAAATTTGAGCCACCATTGTTTCACCCAAACGTGTATCCTTCTGGCACAGTGTGCCTGTCCATCCTGGAGGAGGACAAGGACTGGAGGCCAGCTATCACGATCAAGCAGATCTTATTAGGAATCCAAGAACTTCTAAATGAACCAAATATCCAAGACCCAGCTCAAGCAGAGGCCTACACAATTTACTGCCAACACAGAGTGGAATATGAGAAAAGGGTTCGAGCACAAGCGAAGAAGTTTGCCCCCTCATAAGCAGCGGCTCTGTGACTCCATGACGAGGAAGGGATTGGCTTGGCAAGAACTTGTTTACAACCTTTTGCAGATCTAAGTCGCTGCATACAGTTACTAGTCGCCTGGGAGGGTTGAGCGGGCGCCATTTTCCATTTCCGCCACTGGCATATACAGTCTCAATTCGCTGAATTGCCCCAGTTTTTCATACAGGGTCTCTTCCTTCAGTCTTTTGTATTTTTGATTGTTATGTAAAACTTGCTTTTATTTTAATATTGATGTCAGTATTTCAACTGCTGTAAAATGATAAACTTTTGTACTTGGTAAGCCCCTAGGAGCTAGTTTCTTTGCGCTCGGATGCAGGCATGCTTCCCACTGTTCAGAGCTCTGGCCTCCAGCTGGCTGTATGACAGAACCACACTGTCCCTCCCTCCCCACCCTCGACCTCCTCAGAAACCTGGGCTGTTGCTTATGAGCCTCAGATCCAAAGTTGGCCAGCGTCTCCATTCTGCACCACTTCCTTTGTGTTTATATGGCGGTTTGTCTGTGTTGCTGTTTAGAGTAAATAAACTGTATATATATATATATATATATATAATTTATTATATAAAAAAGGAGCTTTTCTTCACAAGAGAAATAAGAAAGGCTGACTGTAACTAGCATGGTAACATGTAACAGGTTGAAAATGAGAGATGTCCAAAGACCTGCAGAGTCTGACCTCCCATTAGCTTCCCCCTGGGTTCCACCTACAGAAACCCCATCAAATTCTCAAGGTGAGATCCAAGAAAGATTTTTTTCTCCTGACTTTAGCAAGAGAAGACTAGTTATAGGAGAGAGGCAGAGAGCATGAGAAAGCAAAAGTGAGAGAGAGAGAGATAGGAGAGAGAGAGAGAGAGAGAGAGAGAGAGAGAGAGAGAGAGAGAGGAGAGAGGAGGAAGAGAAAGAGACCTTTTCCATAGCTCTGGCCTTCTCCCCAGAAGCAGGACCTCGGCGGCCTTTTTTTTATCTAGAGAAAACATCTCCACTACTCCAGATCCTTCAAGCTTCTCTGTCTCATTTATGGCATGATGGGAGGAAGGAACCATTGTTAATAGAAGCCATTGCTGCAAGACTGGCAATGCTACACCCAGGAAAGGGTTTAGGGCATGTGGTACCAATGGCAGAAATCTGTTCCTCAGCAGACACACTTGTGAAGATCTTAGTCTAGTAAGACTAGTCCATGCAGTGAAGTGAGCAAAACTACTGAGTCCAAGCAAGCAAACCAAACAAGCAAGCAAAAGCTACATAGGCACACCATAGCCAAGCTTCAATAAGTGGCGGCAAAAAGAAAGCCAGGGAAGCTGGGAGCTGGTGGGAGACCTCACAGGCAGAAGAATCAGCTCATGGAAAACTTCTCAGAATGGAAGGAGAGGGAAATGAAGTGTTGAAAGACAGGGAGAAACTTGGAATTCTGGATCCTGCAGAATTAACCTTGGCAAATGAAGGAGCCTGGTGGCTAGGGAGTCTGTGCACATGTCTAGATAGGGCATATACTGGATACCTCTGTACCCTTGGTTGAGTCCACTGTAAACAAAAACTACTTTAAAATATAAAGTCTCCTTGACAAGGGGAGTAGAAATGTACACAATTTGAAGATGATGATAATATTCTTGAATTTTCTAGAGGTCACAAAGACAGTGGAAGGTCCAGGGGGTTCAAGTGAACATCTGTCTCCCCCAGAAGCCTGCGCTCTGCAGGCAGCAGTATGTTCTCTCAGATCCTCTCATCTGAATGACAGCATTTTGTTAAATGCATGTCAAAGAAATATCCACAATGATTTTCTTAAAAACAAAACAAAACAAAAAAAGGACGTGAGCTCCACGAAAAATGAATTCACTAAAAATGAGCGTTTAATCTTTCTGAATTGTTAAGCCAGAAAAGTTTGACCAAAAATATTCTAAACCCTTAAGGAAGGGGATGCTTCAGGTAAATCTATCAATACTTGCCTGGAGCCCTCACTACCTTATCACTGTTGGATAACCCTTTTTTAGCGAAAGCCTGTCAACTCCTTTGTTGAATCATCACTGCTTAAGACTAATGAAGTAAGCGAGCAAATATGGATCACACCATTTGGTTATCGGCTTTTGATAAATTTGACAGCTCTGGGAGTCAGAAGCGGCCACTGTGAAGAGTAATGCATCAAGGCTGTCTCCTCTGCTGCTAAACTTTCACTAATTCCAAGCAGTTCCCTTGCCCCAGTGAGGAGAGCTTACTTAGCTCAGGGCTGGCTCAGGTGTCCAAGCAGCACGAATCTCTTAGCTCTGGCTGCCCCACTGACTGAGTACAATTTCTTCCTCCTCCTCCTTCAGTCGGCAGAGTAAGTTCTTTTTTCCGTGAGACCTTGAGTCCAGCCTTTGTCAACACATTCACGGGGCTGTGTGCTTTACTCTCTTATGTAATTTGGTGCTGCACTCCAATCTTCAGCCGTCTGTCTCCTTCACCAAACCGGGGGTTTCTTGACAGGTGTATGTCTGGCTCACCCATCTTCCCATTTGGTGCCAAGGGCGCTTGGAGCACGGAAAGTGCCCATGCTACTGCAAGGGACGGTGACTACAGCAATAGCGACCCTTTATCCCACACTCTTTTCTGGGCCAAGTTTTCTACAAAGAACATGATCTGATCGAATAGTCTCAAAAGTTTTTGTGGGGAGGTATTGTGGTAACTGTTATTTGTATAGACACAAAGTCTTAAAGCTTTCTTTGAGTCTGCCAGCCAGTTCCAGAACCTCGTTCTAATACTGTTCGCTGATATGTTATGAATTTCTTACCATAAGGTACAAATGTAGCTTCTGAAAGAGAACAAGGGTTTTGTCTTTATTGTCATGGAGTGAGACAGTACTCCCGAAGAAATGCCCCAGAATGAGTTCTTGGATATCTTTAGTAATCCTTTAGGGGCCTTACATTCCTTCGACACTGTGAAGACAGACAGAATCCCTTCAAAGAGTGGGCATGTCTGGATGATGGGCAGAGGCTTCTAGTGCCAAGAAAGGAGGTGCACGGAGTAATTGACGTGTGGCTTCTAAAAGAGATGTTGTTAAGTGTTTATGCACTGCCCAGCCCTCCTCCAGATCCAGCCACTCAGTGCTGTGCACAGTCCTCCTCCAGACCCAGCCACTCAATGCTTATGCACAGTCCTCCTCCAGACCCAGTCACTCAGTGCTTATGCACAGTCCTCCTCCTCAGACCCAGCCACTCAGTGCTTATGCACAGTCCTCCTCAGACCCAGTCACTCAGTGCTGTTCATCTGCCAGAATTCCTCATGGTCACAGCTGAAGATGACCTATCCTTGTCCCCTTTCCAGCTACTTGAGCTGAGGGGACTCTAACTGGAGAAGTTGATTGAATCAGCTCTGAAGCAATCATCATAAATTGGTTTGCCTCATAATCAGCCTTTGTGGCTACGTCGGGGTAATGTTTGTTTTATCCTTTGACTGACTGACTGATTGTTGTTTAACCACAGTGGTTCATAATGTGGCACATAATTTAGACACAATCAAAGTCACCTATGAAGAGCGACTGGAGCGAATCTCATCTCCATGCAATGCCATCTTACTTAAGGCAATGGAAGATTCAAGGCTGGGAGGAAAATAGCTTAAAATATACTGAGATCCTCCCCTCATTCTGTCTGTCTGTCTCTCTCTGTTTCTATTTCTCTCTCTCTCTGTCTCTATTTCTCTCTCTGTGTATGTCTCTCTCTTCTTTTCTGTTTCTTTCTTTTCCTCTGTTTCTCTCTCTCCCCCATCTCGCCTCTCTCTCACACACACCACATACATACACACATGCTTGATACAGTCATATAAAAGAAGCATAAAATCCATAAAATAAACCAGACCACTAGTGTTTATCTTCTTCCAGGTTCTCCTCACGCCCTATCCCACTCCTGACTGAGTGCTGATCTATTTTTGAGCAAGTTGGATTCAATGTCAACCTGCCGTAAACAGGACTTCTTCTATTAGGTGATTTTCATCTTGAACCCCAGGCTTGGCTCTGGGCGTTCATTTAAAGTTACATCACAAGCAGAATGTTGTTGAAGGAGTGCTTCCAAGCTGACCACAGCAAGACTGGTGAAGGAAACAACAAACATCTTCCTCCATTGAGTGAAATACCTTCCCCAACCAGAGTTGCCTGTCTCTTAAATGTGCATTGGCAGCTTTTGTCCTGTTCAGTGTCACTAAGAAAGCTTCAACGCCTCCTGCATTTATCAAATTTGAAGACAGGAAAATAAATTTTAAAAAACGGCCAAGGTGAGGGAAGGAATGCATTTGCCTTGGAATGTATTGTTACTTTGAAATTCTACGTCTCTTGGAACATCCATCAGGGTTCCTGAGGCGGCCCCATACATGATTCAGTCTGGAAGTGATGGAGATGATGACAGAGGGACCCTTTTTGTCTCTACAGTTCTGCAGACTTAACTCTCCACAGGAACGGCTGATAGGTTCTGGGGAAAGCAGGTCAGGGTTGCTTCCCGGGTTAGAAGCAATGGTTCCAAAGAAAACATGAATCTCAGGATTTCTCACATTATCAATTGCTCATCCTAAAGTATATTATGATAGACGATTCTGAAGTATACAAATAGGCCTGGATCATTTCACACTCCAGAATCCGCAACAACAACAGCAAAGTGGCTGCTGATTCATTGGAAACTAGTTTCCTAGCAACGAAGGTCGCAGGAAGCCTAGCCCCATTTGGATGGAGGGAGACTCACCATGTTTGTATCGCTGTGAAGCACTGCACTGCAACCCTCTTTAGACAGCCGAGCGTTCAATTAGTTTGTTTTGCTGATTAATCGCTGCTTTCACTGCAACCGTTTGTATAAGAAATAGGAAAGAAACCTCTGCTACCGAGCTGCAGCACTGCAGTCTGAATTTCTGACTTCATCTAGATTAAAGAATTTTGAGAGCCATCTGCATGTATTTAAATATCTTTTTGACAATGGTAGACTTTTCTTTGAGTCAACAATTTAAAAGATTCTTTCCTCCAAAAATGAGAATTTCCAGCAGATCTAATTTTCTCATGAATGTCAAATTAGCAAATAAGGTATTTGGGTGTTCAGTCTCTAATCTGCATATAAAATGCCCTCAGAATAAAACAATCTGTTTTGTATTCCTAGTGGGAAAGCCATCTTATACAAATTTTAGAAGAAATGTACCAAGAAGGCCAGTATTTTCCTCCCAGTCTTCACAGAACTGAGAGTAACAGCTTCCACACCCATTCAGCCCAAAGCTTTTTCAATAAAATTTTAGAAAGGATGTGGAAATCTTTGTTTTTCATGTACAGCATAGTAACATGCAGGCTCGCAATAGCTCAATTCAAGTCTTGCTGCAGGAGAAAGGCGAGAATCTAGAAGAGAGTAACAGAGGGCGGAAGCAACAGGAAGAGAGAACGCTTCTGTCTAAGTCATATTGCCTGTACACTTGTATACTTTTGGATGTAAGTGACACAGTTGATCTGTAATGCTAAGTGCTTCCTGGGTGCTGGTTATGTAGCCGTCTTAAACTAAAAGCTTTATATTCATCATTTGATTTAACGCACGGAGAGCTATTA